GTGTGTGTGTGTGTGTGTGTGTGTGTGTGTGTGAGTTAAAGAGCATGAGAGAGAGTTGGCTGATTTGACTGACCTGGCTTAAAGGTCAGCCTCCGTATCTGTTTCATAAGAAAACATGATACTAGAGGACATTGCAGACTTTGTGTGGGGGTTACGGTGGTGCCTTGATGCTAAAAGTAACAAAGTGGAGAAAAGGTTAATCCAAACAAATTGGATTTTGTTTTTCTCTGGGATTTTTTTCCTGTCTCTAAAAGAATGACTCAGGCACAGCAACATTAAAATCCAGAACAAGAAAATATTTGCATGTCGGTAGTTAAAACACAATTTAAGAGACATATTTCAAATAACTATTATAAAAACAGGTTTACTGCTACATAATGAATGTGAGAAAACTTTGATGGTCAACATTTTGGGGAAATATACTTATTTGTGTCCTCACATAGATGAGAAGACTGATACCACTCGCTGATACTGATATGCACTCTAACCATAAACTGTATAAAGATGGGCTATTTATCTCCTCTTCCTCCTGTTGTACAAAAATTAAGCTAAATATCCCAGATACATTTTGCACATTTGAGGTCATTTGAGCAGTAGTGATCTTGGTGCGGAGGTAGTGCCATTATACGCATCGACCAATCATGAGTCAGTCTCCTCTGTCGATCACAAAATTTCCCCTTGAAAACATTTATTTAACGTCTACTTTGTCATTTTACTCTGGTCATGTCCCATCTGCTAACATGGAGAAGGCAAGGTTTATGACCTGTACTGCAGCTAGCCACCAGGAGGCGATCAAGATGATTCAGCTTCACTTTTAGGAGCTGTTATGAAGTCCATCTTTACATTCATACGATGATTCTAACCAGTAACTTGGAAGCTAAGCTTAGCATAAAGACTGGAGCTCTAAGGGGACATGGCCAGGCTCTGGCTAAGCTAATGGCCTCCCAGCTGCAGCTTCATAATCAGACTACTGATTTGTATCATTCTTCTCATCTAACACTCAGGAAGCGTATCAGTCTAAATATCGAATAGCTCATTTAACCTCAAGATAATAAGACAAGACATTTAAATAAAAAGAGGCTTCACTCTCTCTCTCTCTCTCTCTCTCTGGGCTATAGGACAGAGAGGAGAAGAGGCAGAGAACGTAGAGGAGGGGGCGACTTGAAGAGGGAGGGAGAGAGAGAGATCACAAAACATTCAAGTGCTCCCAGTGCAGCTGTTGACCTAATACAGTGCACAAATACAGCA